TAGGACCAATCGAAAAAGTATGATGTGGTTTTGATGATTCGTTAGAATTGCTATTAGGGCTAGCCATTATTTGTCCAGAAGATCCAGGTCGAGACGCGTCAGCGTTTGTAGTTGAGGGTGAGGTTCTAGGTGGTGAAATCTGAGGTGTCATAGCCGCCGGATCCCCCTCCGCAGCCACTTTCTGGACTGGAACCCCCTTTGCTGCTTCGGTCGGAGCATCTCTCGATCGTGTTGCAGCAGGGGTTATGGGTGGAGAATGCATGGATGATGTTCGAGGACTTTGATGGGGAGAGGGTCGACTCGAAGAACTGTGTGTGTTATATCGGCTAGCCTCTCGCGAATTCTCTTCGGTTGAGGGTATCTACAATTCAACGAGTTAGTTGGATAGTACAAGACTCCAAACAGAAATAAAGTCAAATTATGAACAATAGCAATATGCGCTATTGTGGGCCATATAATGCGAATCCCTTGTAAAGCAAATTGTGGTTCTTAATGCATAGAGTCTACTAAATCTAGCCCGTGGTTCAGCCAAATTTTGGCGTTGTTACAGTTTGACACTTCAAGCTGAACTATCAACCCACAGATTGGCAGAACCCGTTGAAATATAGATCGTTGCAAATAGAAATGACGTACTCTCGAAGCTGGTAGAGACACAGGCTCGAATGCAAAATGGCTCATGCGACGTTCTTGTAGATGAGTTCCTTGAAGGGTTTTCGATAACTGATCTAAATCTACCTGCTCCTTATTTAACATATTCTGCGTAGCCGTGCTATGATCCAGACCAGCGAAGCTTGCATCCGGTGCTATTTGCTCGTTGACCGCGGCGAACCGGACTTGTGGGGAACCTTCAGTAGAGGATTTGCCGTTCAATTTGAAAGGTGTAGAGCCTGCGTGGCCATTGTTAGCCTCATTCTCTCAATGTATGTTGACAAGATGTCGTGATTGGGTCGACAACAGCACGAGTAAGCGCAGAGACTCACCGAGCGGGGCCGTCTGAGTAGACGATGATGATTCTTGAGGTTCAGCCATAGTGAGAGCGATGGGGGGTATAGGATATTGGAGCAATTGCACTATGGTCGAGGATAGCCCTCCGGAGCCTTCACGAAAGTCGGGGCAGGTTGTAAGTGAGAAGGTTGATTCTGAAAGGAGAATTTGGAGGTTTGATGGTGGGGCTTTCGGAGCGTTTCTCTTGAGTCAAAAGCGGATACAATACTGTAAGAGAGCAAACTAAACGGAAGAAGAAGCCGAGATGATAAGTTTTGCACCAATCGATGAATGATTAACCATCAGATTGAATATTCAGCAAAGAGAAAGATAGAAAATGCAAATGGAGTAAGTAATCAATCGTACAAAGCATATACTGGGATGTATGTATGTAATTTTGACTGTTTTATTTTAATGAAGTCTTTGAAGATTCGAGTAAAGAATCTACTCTAACTGATTCGATTAGATCATGTACAACCAAGAAATTTATGTACCAGTTAACAAACAGTATGAACAAATGGTCAAGAACTGGTAGCGGAGGTAGTAGGAACACCAAGACCGGATTTCTGAGGATTTTCAATGGATGGTGGGTAGTAGACTGGAGTAGCCAAAAGTCAAAGTCGAAGTCAAAGTTTGATTAGTGGAGGAAGGATTTTGAACGTTAGGTGGTGGGTGGAACAAGAAGTAATAATGATGACGGGTTACCGGTTAATAATAATTGAACCTTGAATGCGAAAAGCCATAAGCAATGTCTAAACTGGAATTGGCATGGTAATACTCGATGCTTGATGAAGTAGGAAAGGTCCGATATAACAAGAAGAGGGAGAGACGCGAAGATGTGTGTACCAGGCGAGCCAGGTAATCTGTAATGGAGAATATCAAGTGTGATAGGTCGGATTTGCATCGGCTTTAATAAGGACAAGAAGATAGATGACTGTAGTGTGACGATAGGCATGTGCTAGGTGCAATTCCGTTGCTTTCTTTATTTCCTTCGAATTCATGTGTATGATGTATGTTGTACGGTGTCTGGTGTCTGGTGATATATATGATGTAAACCGGATAATAATTTACATTGATTTGATCGAGATGTACTGCGTACCAAAATATTACCCAAAGGCGTCGATGGAGCAATTATGCAAAAGGCTGGGTTGGATGAGATGGAGAGAAATTGGACCGTTGATTTCAGAAGCATTCATCCAAAAGGATATTACTCGAGTACCGGCGGGTAGTTTGTAATGAAGAGATGAGAAAACTTCAATGGATATGGATATTACCTAGGTACCTCCCACCAGTCGGTCTACCCAGGTACTTCCCAGAGATTGAAGATAATTTCCATTGACTCGCATTCATTTGGATTACACATAGCTTACTAATATTACCACAAATAACCTTGGAATGGAGGTCTTTGCTTCTTTTCTACATGCGGTCAGGCTGGGCAGTCGGCCGCCGCTTGAAAAAGAAAAAGGAAAAGTTTTTACGAGGTACGAGGTCTACTGGCAATCCCTTCATTCTCTAACTAAACACATGTGATGGAAGAAAGAAAATCGAGTTTTTGTCTACGTGCGTAGATAGATAGATACTCTTGTCCTCAGCAAATCACATACGCTGAGATTATCTACAGAGTAGGTCTCGACCACGATCATTCCGTTTTAAGCCAGGTAATATGGAGAGGTGGATCGAAATTTTAACACAGGCAGGATAAAAATAAACAGGTGGAGAAAATTCAAAGCCCAACCTAGAACTGGACTTTTACAGAGGCACGTAGACTCGAGGCACTGGGGCAGACTGTACGAATAGTCGTTCAGTACTCGTAGATGTGGCTGACTGGTGATTCTATATTGTTGAAACCGCCTTGTGAACCTTGATGAGAAAGGGGGGCAACCTATCAATAAGTACCGACTGGCATGCCATCTTTACTTCCGAAACTCATTACAGCAAACTCATTACAGCAAACTCATTACAACAAATAAGGCATATGTCTCTATGTAATTGGAACCAGCAATTCTCATAAAATGGAGAAATTTGTTCCGTCTCGAGTCGCTCAAATCAGAAGACCCAAATTAATACCAGGCATCTCTAATTGCTTCGTTCGCCGAAGTCTTTTATCTTGCACAGCAGCTCAGCAGGCACAAGATTATGCACGGCGAGTCTACAGAGGCGCCTGCGTGCTTGTACAACATTAGCATCGATACTGAGCATCGTTTATGAGTGGATCGTTGTACATTCTTGGGGGGGCGATTTGGTTTGTAGATCTTCCTGCTTTATTGACACTTAAGGCTGCATTGGTCGTAGATAGCTGGGCGCGCTGGGATACGATGCTTCTAGGTTTCTTCTAGAACTCCACTGTCAAGGCCAAGCCTAAGTGATACCGAGTGTTACCGAGGACAACCCCCGAAGCCCCGATTTCGCTGCTGGGGTTGCGCAAAGCGTTCCAGAAGGATTGGAGGAGATAGTTACACGTGATCCAATCAGCTCAAAGCAATCCGGAGTTCGTCTCGGATTTCCAATGAGAGACATCCGTTCCGTGAAGTGACATCTTAGGAAGCATGACCTACCTACCTACGAGTACTTCATAAGTATTTACTCTCGCTGAGCGCCCAATAATCAAGTATTTGGAAGCGCAGCTTTAGTTCAGAGCAAAATGAAACAAATCTGCCAAGTGTGCATGGTTTTGGAAAAGTTTGTACTGATACATGAGTCCATTTCTGAGCTTTCTATTGGACGAGCACCCACAACGCGGAATTATCAATCCTGTTAACGAAATATTCATGTCCTTAAAGGTTAATGTCCTAGTCGAAACATTCTCGAGGTTGAACCATCGTGAAAATCGTCTATTTTACACCGTGCAATCTCAGGTTTCCCTCTGAGAGTAGTGTACATATGAATCCCAACGCCGCCGCAATGATATCACACGTGTAAATTGACTCAGCTTATTCGAATCAGCCTGATCGACAACCCCTCGCCCCCTTCATGCGACAACCTTAACCCCAATGGTTTTCGCCTGCGCAATCACTGATTTGCAAAGCCCCTCCAAAGATAACCCTGATAGGCGCAATTCTGATTGTTTTATTTTGGCAATCTCGTAGATGTGCTTCAAACTGACAGTACCCACAACCGTTGTCGAATCTGGCGCTCCCTTTAGCTTTCCCTTTTTCGCCTCAACGCCCGCAGCGCTGAGAAGTAACCATGATGTTGACGGTGTGCGGAGTTCGAAATGGAATGATCGATCTGGTCGCACTGTGACTCTCGCGGGAATTGGGGTTCCTGGATTCATATGGGCAGTTCTCGCATTAAATTCCTAGTGAAATTATTAGACTAACTGACCATTTGAGAACAACATGAATTGTGTTCATGATACAAATGAAGTCGAAACTGCAACAAGATTCAGGAACTGCGCAAGTTGGGGATGTGCGTACCTTGCAAAAGTCCATTGACTTTACACCTTTACTTCCCAATGCAGGACCAACTGGAGGACTAGGACTGGCTTGTCCTGCTCCTACTATGAGTTTCACTATCACATCTGAAGCTGCGCGTGCTTTCGACATCGTTATTAAGGTGCTGGCTGAGGAAGATGTCCTGGCAGTGAAGCTTTCTTGAGGTCAACTTGATAAATTAAAATTTTAGGCCGCGTCTGTCGCCTTGTCGATAAGGTTCTGAAAATGACATGGGTTTTTTGGTCAAGGATCCATTCAGCCTTTCAAGGTTACCCCAAATTTTAGATAATCCACATGCCGAAACTCATTTGATTTCTGTAAATGATGCGACACAATGCCTTTTACAATAATACGTCATTTGTATACACTTTGATATTCTTCGCAAACGACAGCAAGATTAATCCCTTCTAAATCTTTGAAAGGGGCTTGCACGTGATTAAATATGGATGATGTATGCATTAGGCAGGAACAAGATGATGGGGGGTCATCTTGGTACTTGAAGGACGGTTGTCCCTCTCTCAAAGACAAACATCACAATAAATCATTTCACTTCCCCAAGATACAATAACACAAATATTCAAGATGATGAACTGGGCCAAAAAGACAATGGCCAATGTTGCCGGCACAGCAGAACCAATCTATGGACCGTCAGCAATTATACCAGTCGGCAAGCAAGCAGAAACCACGCCATACACTGAACTTTCGAGAGAAGACATGAAATGGGTCGCTATGGACTCAACGAGCGTAGAGACTCAGACTTTCTATTTCATGGCTGATAGTGGACATATTGCCATGGCGCAAATAATACACAGTAATGTTATGTATGATTCGCATTTCTCTCCTTGTAAGAACGAGATGCTGATACTATAGGAAGTGGCGTGCGAACGACAACTCAGTTCAACTGCAAAATCTCCTATCCTAAAGGTAGTTCAAAGCCTAATCTTTGGAGTTCCGATCAACTCAGCAACGTCGAATTCAGCGATGATAAAACCTGCTTCTATGCAGACGATGTTGCCATTGATCTTTCTGAGGATGGCACAGAATATACTATCAAATCCATGACGAATGAAGCATCCATCGTCAACCTCACAGTGACTCGAGTTGCTCCGGGTTTCCATGTCGGTAAAGATGGCAAATCATATTATGGCACAGATCCAAAGGCTCCTTGGGGCTCGATGAGACATGCATTCTGGCCACGAACTGTCACCAAAGGATCCATTACAACCAAAGATGGGTCAATAGACTTCAAGGGCAAGGCATTGTTCATACATGCGCTCCAGGGAATGAAACCACATCACGCTGCCGCAAAGTGGAATTTTGTCGACTATCAAGGTCCACAATTTTCAGCCATAATGATGGAATACACAACACCTCCAGCATACGGTTCTACCGTCGTCAGTGTTGGTGGCATAGTCAAGGATGGCGAAATCATCTGTGCTGGAGCTGGAAATACTGCCAAACACACCCGGATCAAGAATGATGAGGATGCTGGCTGGCCGGAACCAGAGGCTGTCAAATTTGACTGGCAAGGAAAGACAAAGGACGGAAAATCCGTTTCTGGTTTAATCGAAACAGACCTCGAGGAAAGACTCGATAGAGTTGATGTCATGGCTGAAGTCCCTGGGTTTGTAAAGAAAATCGTGGGCAATGTTGCTGGAACAAGACCATATATCTACCAGGTTTGTCATACATACTTCTTACGAAATTCCGTGATACTAATACTCCATGTAGTACTCACCGCGTAGCAAGCCAACAACCTTGAAACTAAAGATTGGAGATGAAGAAATTATAGAGGAGGGATTTTTATACACCGAAGCAACGTTTATTTCCGAATGATACCTTGGGACTTGAGTTTATGGCATTGATGTTTTTACTTGTCAATTTTTTTTGGTTTTCGGGCGTCAGCGAAACAAGAGACATCATGGGTGCGTTGGAGAATAAGTATATATATTTTAGGGCTTGGAGATACCTTATGGGGTAATAGAGTCTCTTCAGGAGGCTTGGATATCAACAGAAGTTCTTTTTCAGAATAAAAAAATTGCTCAGTACATATATAGTATTATTGAAAGTGAGACCCGGGTGAGAGGAGAAAGTAGAAAAAACGCGCTAGTTTCAAGTCCCGTGACTTCGTTTTCCCCCCGCTTCCCAGCCGCGTTCAACTTTCGTTTGTTCAATCCCTTTCAACTTTCAAACAATTGTCTCAACTCCATTTGATGTATGATCGAGTAATAATATTACGATAAATTGCTACCTCTTCTAAAGACGCATATCAGCTCCTTGTAACAAAATGACATCACAAAACTTATCCTCACCATACTCTCGAAGAGGTCATCATTCAATGGCCGGAAAGACTGTAATGTCAAGCCTTGGCGGAGGCAAGGGCAAGACCGGTCCAGGTGGTAGGGGAATCGGAGGTGGTTCTCGTCTGAGAAGACATCGGTGAGTTTTTTAGATCGATCTCTATGATTCTTGAGGTTACTTCATTTATCATTGTTCTCAAGGATTGGACACTTTGTTAATATGTTTCTGATTTTAGAAAGGTTTTTAAAGATAACATAAATGGTATTACCAAAGGTGATATTCGGTTAGTATTTCCGTAGTAAGGCTGAAGACGCGAACTAACCACAATTCATAGACGTCTAGCACGCAGAGGTGGTGTCAAACGTATCTCATCGATGATCTATGGCGATGTCCGTGAGGCGATCAAATCACGTTTGAATGAGGTCTGTACCCTCGTTACAATGTCGAGATCGTCGTTTTAATACCTTGCAGATTTTGAAGGATTGCGTCGCAATAGTTGAACACTCTAAGAGAAAGACGGTCACTGTCAACGATGTGGGTTTCTTGTGCTACAGTTGCTGGTTGAGACTCGAAGCTGATAATGTCATGTTAGGTCATTTGGGCATTGCGTCGACAAGGGAGACCTATTTATGGTTTTGACAACATCGACAAGTGAACGGTTGCACGCTGTTGATGTGCATTTCGACTATTTTGCGAGGATACCCGTTGCGTGCATATTTGTAGGACTATTTATTGATGTGGAAATCTTGGCACGCAACACTTTTCGTTGTTAAGCTACATTTTTTTCTTTTCTTTCTACAAGATATTGAGGATATATCAAGCGGCAGAAGTATGTTTGTAACAAAATTCTGATGAGCATATGGTATTGGAAGGATGACAATCAAATAGAGGCCATTGAATCATGAGCAGGCTCTACAAAAGTGTATTCGACTTATACCTGTCTTCTTCTATTTCCCAGGAAAGATTGCCTGCCTGTATTTACTTTTCTTTCTGTGCCCAAGTGAGCATAACTCAATGCCAAACCCTTTTGAAGGTTATTCGTTGCAATATTTTACACCATAGTCGTACTCCTCCCCATTCCCCTGCCACCCCCTCTACCAGCGCTTGAATGCATCCTCTCCACTTCCACATCACTATTCATTCTCAGCACCTTACTTCTCCCATTGTTTTTCCCATTTTGACTCTTTCTTCCCATGAATCCTCTCCCTTTCTTCTCCAATTTTTCCACCCTCTCACTCTCCCTCTTCTCCCACAATTCATCTATGCGTCTTGAGCTGGCACCCCCATACCAAACTCTCTCACTATAAATGCCCATTTTCGGACCGCCTGGATACTGTCCCTTCCGAACTTTACTCTTTCGAGAGAAATAAGTGCAGGTTATGTAGAAACCGTGGATGTGGCCGGGAATGACGCCCAGGAGAAAAAGGATAGTATTGAGGAGACAGTCGGCGCCCACGCCTGCGATCTAGGGTAGATGTTAGCCTGGTTGAGTGAAATTGAGGTTGAGGAAGGGGGATAAGAGACTTACAGCCATAACTGTCACGGGCGGACCTTTGATTTGATTAGTTTTCTAATGATACAGGTAACTCGGTGATGGAAGATCGTAGAAAGTGCACATACAGAAAATGTTAATCAATAACATCAATAATCTCTCTCGAATCATCTTGACTTGGAATCTAAGAGAATATAAATATAATTCGCTGCCCTGTCCAAATTTACAAATTTACACCAAAGTTCGCAAAAGCTGTCAAAAATTGGATGAAATACACAGATTTCTAATCACAAATTTTATATCATCTTAATCTTCTTAAAGACTTTGGACGGGAAGACAAAAAATTCCAACATTTTATCAGGTTTGTGTTATCTATCTATTGATTCTAGGAGCTGAATGTGTTGGATCCTGTTCTTTCGAATCAAGAGAGCAGGGATAAGAGCTTGGTTTTTGGTGATGACGATGACGATGAGCTGCATGTGAGATTGTGAGGTTAAATGTTAATTTCCCGGGAGAAGGTAGATGGAAGAAGTAAACGAGGACTTGAGTTAATGTTATTTTTACTAGATGAGTCTACAATAGTGCAATATCGATGTTTGATTCGCAATGGCGAATAGTGGCATATCAAATTAGCTACAGCTACCTAGGTACCTATGCCTGCTGTGCTAAGAGAGCTAGCATATAGTAGAGTCATTAGGTGATGCGGCCCCAAACCGGGGTAGAGCATGCTAGCTAGCACTTGCCCAGCCAGCAATAGCGATCTAGAACAAACAACCACATTATTGAAAGAAAGAGGTGAGAGGTAGCAATCAATTTACAAACATCAAACAAATCGATTGGTCACAAAAACCACAATCACGTGTTCAGGCGTTCCATACCCATGTAATTGCCGATGCTCTTGAAATTAATCGAACCTTGCAAACGCGTCAAGCTTTCTCTTGCAACAACCACATTTTGGAATTTTGGTACATGATAAATCGGTTTTGGGATTCATCATGTCGAATCTAGGAAAACGCAGCGCGTCTTCCGGTTTTGTCGATTTGACAAACTCGGATTCAGAGGATGAGGTACCTCGCGCTCAGCCCAAGCAACCCAGACTCAATTCTACACCTGGTCTGTCAAGAGCTGGTTCTGGTTCTTCAAGACCTTCACAGGCTGCTGGAAATTCAAGTTCGAGTCAAGCTTTGAATGTCCGTGATCAGTGGGGTGAGGGTGATGAAGATGAGATTATTGATTTGAGTCAAGATGTCGAAGAGGGCTTTGGTTGGGTGTTGGTTGGAGCTCTTGATGGGAAGATTGTGGGCGTTAGATTTTATGAGGGATATGCGACGGCTGGTGAACAGGTCATGGCTAGGAGAGAACCGGGAAATCCGTATGATTCGAATGCGATTCGTATTAATAATGTGAGAGGTACACAAATTGGACACTTGCCGAGGGAGCTAGCTTCTAAGTTAGCAGGATTTTTGGTATGTACTTCTGGAGATATTGGTGATGTGAAATGAAGACTGATGCCAAACTTAGGATGCGAGAGCAATTGTTATGGAGGGAGTTCTTACAGGAGAAAAGAGAGCATATGATTGTCCTGTTTTGCTTAAGATTTACGGACCAGCGGATCCTGTCGTGAGAGCTAATTGTATGTCGTGTCCTCAAGCACTCATCTGCTACAAGAGTTTCTAAGATAATATTTCTGCTTGCTGACTATACAACCAGTGGAGAAGCAGTTGGCCGCCAAGAGATTACCATTGAAGAGACGAGAAGTGGCGCCGCCAAAGCCGCCGAAGGCTCCAGTTCCACTCTCGCAGAGAAAGCAAATGGGTTTCACATCTTCTCAAGCTGGTAGCTCTAGTCAGATAGAGCCAACAACTCAACCAGTAATCGATCTTGCACATTTTGTTGCGAACAGCGAGCGATTCAATCCGAGAGAAGTGGATAAGATGGCCGAAGAGTTAGGTTTACCTGAAGATGCACTCTCAAAGATGCCCATGGCAGAACAACCAAAAGATCTCAAGGCTACATTACTTCCGTATCAGCGTCAAGGCTTAGCGTGGATGCTTGAGAAAGAGAACCCGGTCTTACCGGATGCAAAATCAGACAAAGTTGTGCAGCTTTGGAAGGCCTCAAAAGAACACAAAGGCACCTACAAAAATATCGCAACCAACTACTGTGATAAGGCTCCGGAGTTGGCCTCGGGTGGTATACTTGCAGATGATATGGGTCTTGGAAAGACTTTGCAGGTTATCTCCCTTATTCTTGAGGGTGGATCAGGTACGACTTTGATCGTTGCACCGGTCAGTGTTATGTCAAATTGGGCACAGCAAATGGAAAGACACATTAAGGAAGACAAAGCCTTGAAAGTCTTGACTTACCATGGTAGCCAAGGCAAGGTCAAGGAAATGACCCCGAGTGACTTTGCAAAGTACGATGTTGTTATCACCACTTACGGCACACTCAGCTCAGAGTTGTTCCCTCGCGGTTCAAAGCTTCCTGCGAAAGTTCCGACTACTTCTGGATTGTTTTCGTTCAAGTGGCGCAGAATTGTCTTGGATGAAGGTCACATCATCCGTAATCCGAAGACAAAGAGTGCGATTGCAGCAACAAGTATCAGTGCCACTTCAAAGTGGGTACTAACAGGAACACCGATTGTCAATACTATCAAGGACTTTTACTCGATGCTCAGATTTTTGGGTATTGGTGGTGGCCTCAATGAGCTTGAGGTTTTCAACGCCGTGTTTACTCGTCCATTGTAAGTGCTCACTCAAGGGGCATCACAGTAATTACTTATGCTAACCTTCGTTTAGGGCGTCAAGGAATCGTGAATCAGAACTGCTTCTACAAACAATAATGAGAGCTTTGTGCTTGCGACGCAAGAAGGATATGAAGTTCGTCGATCTGAAATTGCCAGATTTGTCAGAGTTCGTCCACAAGGTCAAGTTCAGGAATGATGAATTGAAGATTTATGAAGCTTTAGTGTGAGTACCAACATCCAATCTCCCAACGCTTATACTAACAAAAATAAGTCAGCAAGCTAAAGGTATGGCTGATCAATACCAAAAGCAGTCGGAGTCTCTCAAGAAGAACAAAATCCAATACACCCATATCCTTGAAATTCTGCTTCGCATGCGTCAAGTATGCAATCACTGGAAGCTTTGCGAGAACAGAGTCAACACCCTCATGGAAATTATTGAAAAAGACGACGTAGTTGTGCTCAACGCCGAGACTCGTCTCGCTCTACAAATGCTTCTTCAGCTCAACATTGACAACCACGAAGAATGTTCCATCTGTCTCGATGAACTTCATAACCCTGTCATCACAACCTGCAAACATGTTTTTGGACAGGAATGTATCGAGCGCACTATCGAACTCCAACATAAATGCCCAATGTGCCGTGCCAATCTCGAGAACAAAGACGTTCTCGTTCACCCTGCCGTCGAAACGGCGGAAGACGAGGAAATCAATACAGATGAGCAATCCTCCAAGACCGAAGCTCTTATGCAAATCATCAAAGTCACACACAGTGACCCACTTTCCAAAGTCGTCATTTTCTCGCAATGGACTTCGTTCCTCAACATTGTTCAGAAACAACTCGAGCAAGCTGGAATCAAATTTGCTCGTATCGATGGTTCAATGACAGCCCCACAACGTGACAAGGGCATGCATGCCCTCGAAAGCGATCCCGAATGTCGAATTCTCCTTGCCAGTTTGGCCGTTTGCTCTGTAGGTCTCAATTTAGTAGCAGCAGATACAGTTATCCTAGCCGATTCCTGGTGGGCCCCGGCAATCGAAGATCAGGCGGTAGATCGCGTGCATCGGTTGGGACAAAAGCGTGAATGTAAGGTTTGGAGATTGGTAATGGAGGGAAGCATTGAAGAGAGAGTTTTGGAGATTCAGGCGGAGAAGCGAAAATTGGTCGGTAGAGCATTTCAGGAGCAAGCGAGTAAGGGTAGAGGAAAGGGAAAGGAGACGAGAATGGGAGATGTTTTGAGATTGTTGCGTTGAGTGGTGAGTAGGTTAGAGTTGTATATTGTTGGGATGAATGATGGGTATGTAATGGGGTTTGGATCTGCGTGGATGGCGAATTCGTATTTTGTGGAGTTAAGGGTGGGTGGGTGTGAATGACTTAGAGAGATGATTCTGTTTCGCCTCGCGGCTTCTAGATGGATTCATGAACCCGCGCGGTATGTACAAATATATCTACATAAATGAAATACAGATTTATAAAATATAACATTTCTGCCTGTAGGTCGAGCGAAATGTTATTTTTATGGTACAAGTTCATGTAACGACATTAGAGTGAGAAACCGTAGCAACGTTACAAGGTAAACCGACCCATCAATAAGCACACTGAAGCCACACGACGTAACGATAAAATGGGACACGAGAATAGGAATTCCAAAGTCCACTGGGGAGTTCTAGATCAGTTTCCGACGAGCTTTGATCGAAGTCTGAATGTCGAATTTCGTCGCCTCTCGGTGAGCTTTCCTTCCTCGATATTGCGGGTTGTCATTTTGAGCGGGTTCGACTTAGATTTCTGACGTTTGGTGGATAGTCTTTTTGATAGATAGCATTTATGCAAGTGATTTCCCTCATCCTACCTACTTCTCCTCTAGAATTGAAGAATGAAATCGGGGTGTAGAATGAGAACCAGCGAGTAGATCTAATGATCATACCACAACATCATATTAATTCGTGTCCAAATCCAAGCTTAACGCCAAACAACGTCCTACCACCCGTATAGTATCGAGCTATATACGCCAAAAACACATCTATACAAGTGACGTACTTTCCTATCAATGGATTAATAAATCCTCTTCCTCGTCACTCTTGCCCTCATCATCCAATCCCAAATCCAAAACATCATCATCTCTCCTAGAACTTTCATCATCGGAACCCTCCACAACCCCCCCGCCCAATTCTAACTCTTCCCCTAATAGTCCTTCCCTTTCTTCTCCTTCGCTTCCGCTTCTCCTTCTACCTTCTCCATTTTCCATATCATTTCCACTATTCCCCTTCTCTTCCTCTTCTCTTCTCCCGATAATCACATTCCCTGCAACTAGCAACGCCGCGCCTAAGAACCATAATGGTGGTAAACTTTCCGAGAATATTATAAAGCCAAGAACAGCCGTAATCATGAAATTGGACGATGTGTTTATGATGGAAACTTGAACGGTTGAGGTACCGCGAGCGAGGGCTTTGGTAAAGAGGGTCCACATTATACCATTGAAAACCAGGTTAAGGAGGAAAAATATCTATTGCAGTTAAAGGTTAGCTATGTGTACAATTGAGAGGTCTTGTGGCTGTGTTGGTGTTCCGTTTCTCATGAAGCGTATCGTCCAAAAACAACATCGCCCATTGAATAAGAATGGGAAACTCACTCCTCGCACACCATATTCAACAACCTTTTCACCCTCCCCTAATCCCAGAAATCCTGCAACATGCTCGGCAAATGAAGTCGTTAATTGTGTTGTCGTTCTGGGTTCAATAAAGTGTCAGCGCATTAGAATCTAGCGATGGCATGACATATCCATTCATTCGGTATAGCTTTCAAGGAAACCATTCCGATGCATCCGCGCATATTCAACCACTTCCCTTCTATACTTCTCCTTCCATTGAATCACTAAGTCCGCAAAGAATTTGAAGCAATTTGAAAAAAATCCCAAGACAACCTACAATTTCGCAAAAACTCCATTGAAAGCCGCACAAGCACCACTAGCCACCGCCAATAAAATCCACTGCGATTTCCGACTAATATTCTCCATTGTGTTATCTTGCCCTTCTTCTTCGTCTTCGTCCTCGTCCTCCTCTAAGTCTAATTCTGGTTCATTCCCTTTAAGATGTGAAGAAGACGTTGATTCCGAAATCGTAGTTGCATTATAAGACCCGTCGTCATTCAGAATCCTATTCTTAGTCTGAAGCTTGTATCTAACCCCTGTTCCTGTTGTGCCTAAGAGGGGTTTACGTGGATCATCCACCTCAACTCCACCCAGTGCGTCTACTCCACCATCAGCCTCAAGTGTAAGAGCGGACATGGTAGAACCGGCAGTGAGTGCTGTTGTTGTACCGGCGTTGACTTCTACTGATCCTGAGGACTCGTGATTGTCGGATTCGTAGGTAGAGGTGGAAAGGGTAGAGGACTGCGTTTTGCGTTTGGCAGGGCGGAGCATGGTGAAGAGCCTGTAGTGTTGGGCGTTGTTAGGGTAAGGTAGAGGTGGTTATCCCTTTGTTGGAGGTGTGATTTGGGGTGATGTAGTAAGTTACGGTGCCCGGAAGTAAACCTAGATACGCGCTGGTGCTTGCTCGATTGCATGGGGTTTCGAGAAATCGTAAGTCTTACATGTCATTGAAAAATGACACTGACAATTATGTGATTCCGATAATTGTCATCAAACAATTGTAATGGTATGTAAGTAGGTCATCTGCATTTCATCGGAATTATTTCTTTTTTCGAACTAGTGAGTCGAGGGCGTCGCAGTTTCCCTCTTCACAAATACTGCATAACGCCATTTTCAAATGCATGTATATAAGGCCTCATGGGGTAAATCTTTATTTGGTTCAATAAGCTTGACTCCAGGTTCATGGCCATCATTTATACTGTTTTTAGTAAAACTAGTTATGGTTTGATACTCGAAACTTGGTCGTCTACCCTCTCCTCTCACCCTCTCTCACCCACTGTCACCATGTACTCCGTTTTCACATATCTTCCCCCTTCTCAATATAAAAGCGCTAGCTGCGCAAGAGTCAAGGTGCTTCATCTCAGCTTCTCAAATTCCACAGTATACCCTATCATCCGTCCACGCATCCGGAGCCAGTGCCGCTCGAATACATGGGCTCATCTCTGAGAACCGTATCTTTCTTCATTCCACACATATGAAACTACCGTGGTCGAGTTACTGAAATTGCAGTGAAGCACGTTCAAGGAATTGGTATTACAATGAGGAACACGAAAGCTGGGTACGATTTAAGTGCCTATGATAGAGCAGGTCTAAGGTATTGGAGTCGATGACCTAGTGACTGCCGCGAGAAGCTCTCTGGGTTCCGCGGATGGTCTAAGGGATCAGTAGGCAGGCGAGAGGACGACACATCTCCTTCTGATCATATCTATGTCATAGACATTGAAAAGAACCCCCATACTCCGATTCTTTGGAATACATACCATTATTATCTCATTTAATCCATTCCGATTAGATTCATGATCAATGAGACGAATCTCTAGAGCTGATTTAGTCGTTGGTGGTGCCATTTTGGATCCTCCACTTATGTGTGACCAATCCTTACAATATCCAAGAATCTCCATTCTCATTTTAATATCGACGGCTTCATTCAACTCTTACAAATCAGGTGATAGTTCTCAATAAGATATAGAATTCAAGAATTCAAGAATTGAGAATCTACAATCTACTATATTTGGAGTCATTATATTTGAAAAGTGTGAGACAAGACCACTTTTTGGAAATGGCTCACAGTTTCACTATTTTGATCACTCAAATTATCATACTGTCTTTGAGATCAGAAGGTAAAATCATTATAGTTCCATTCATCTAACATGTAATTTACTAGCTACTTCAAGAGTAGGAGTAGAAATCCAATAATTCAAAGACCCAAAAACATAAGAAAACTCCTCGATTCAAGAAATCCGCTGAGGGCACCATTACTCAAAACCAGCCTCCATATTCCTCATCATTCTGCCATTCTTTCCATTCCTCGAGGGTCTTTGTTTCTGCTTTCTCCCTGTCGGCTGTTGGGCTCTCCGCTATCTGTCTTCCTGCCGATAGTCTTGCCACTGCCTGTTTTTCCGCTGTCTCCTTTTTGCGAGCCGCCCTAGAGATGAGGGGCCTCATCTTCGGTATGTCGTAATCTTCTACGTACAACCCACTTACTCGTGGACGTCCCCCACTACGCGAGGAGCTACCCACTGATATTGGTTCTGGGGAGCTCAATCCCGAAGTCGAGCGGTCACTTGTGCCTGAGGCTTCTCGGTAACGGGAACTGCGTGAGACACGCTTTGTGTCTTGAGCTGTTGACCTGACTGAAATGTCACCCGGCAATTGAGAGAGCCATTCCCGAGTAGGTCGCGCGTTAAAAGGAGGAGGAGTGGGGGGTAAGGATGGTTGAGAACATGTGTCTGAAGAGCATGAGTCCTGGTACAGTCTCGATGAGGAACCGGATTTACGATGGCGTGTTTTCTGAACAGGGCTGGAACGAGTTGTTTCTGGGATGACGTATTCAGCTGCGACATAGCTAGCAGAAGTAGAATTAGAGGCATAGGTAGAGTATGTGGGGCTTGGTGAGTATTCGCTGGAGCGTTGCAAGTTCAAAGAAGGGTGGGGGAAATTCTGGTTGTGCCGTGGAGCTGAAGCATTACTAGTAGAAGCAGAGGCAGAATATGCCGCATGTGTAGGCGGGTACGCGAAAGAGGATTTTCGGTTCATGGATGGGCGGGGAAAGTTCTGGCTTCACCGAGAACCTGGAGCATTAACGGTGACGGGAGAGGCAGGGAGTCTGTTGGTCATGGACGGATTTGAACTGGAGGACGGCTGATCTGCTACATGCGGGTAGAGATAATTTCTGTTGACCTTGGGACCTTGAGACATGGTTGTGTTTTGTTGTGAGCGAGTTTAAAATTGTAAATATATTTTCAGAATCTCAAAAATCGGGAAGTAATCCTATAAATAATTCAGATATAAAATTCCTTTCTGCTTTAACTTTTCTTTCCTCTCCCCAGAGAATCTCGAAGCTTAAAAGTAAAATTTTGGCACTAAAACTATGGTCTTTAGAATCATAATGTGGAAAAGGGGTATGAATCAATCCATCCTTGTGGATGACTCGAGGTTTCTTCCCTGGGAGTCAATGAATCAACTCATTTACCTTGATGCTAGAATTATCATAGCATCTCTATGACTAGAATTGCACTCTCGAGATGAAGCTATGAGTCTTCCGAGTACATGGAAAGGTACAAAATGCAGATCAGAAATATACTGTATACTCGTAAACAGACTTAAGCTTGACATATTTCAAAGTTCATGAGGAATCAATATGGGCAACAAGATCTGACCGGCTCGGCAAAGAAGAATCTTGCGCGTTAATAACATTCATTTCAATAAGATATGATCGGAAGTTGGTGGGAAAGATTGTGGAGTAGATAGTACAACAGTCTAGATGGAGTAGTATCGTTCATCGTAAACTAGTTGTGGGCTAGATATATGTATTCGATGTCAAATTCAAGATACATAGTCAATCAAAACTGATATTGATACTCATTAAAATTCTAACTTCATGATCCTAAAAATCTTCAACCGTATTACATCTTCCGAAACTCTGCAGACAGTGTCTTCAAGGGAACTGGATTCAGTCTGCACCAGTATCTTTCTCTTTCATTTTCCGAGCAGGATACCTCAAACATCTCTCTTCGGTGACTCTTTCATGATTTCTTACAAAAATACTAAATTGAACTGCCGATATCAAATACAACTAATCCTTTCGTCGCCTGTGTAGCTACGGGTCCGTTCCTCTCAAGAAGAGTAGAGCAGTCACATACCAAAACACTCATGGTCTTACTCAATCGCCACTTTCAACCCTTCTACCTCCCAAGCAAGCTTCGGAAAATATAATTTCAGTCGTCGAAACGTTCGGGTTTAGTGGTACAACATTATTGCCCTCGTTTCTGTATAATCTGCTACTGGCGAATTACCGGGTTGCGTAGAGGTACGGCCCCAACAGGCAGTATTTAGTGATTGGAATCGAACGCTCGTTCTCTTAGAAACTGTAAGTCGGTTGGGTTGGCGTGCGATTTCCCGGGTGCAGTTTTTCTGCCTTAGTTCTCCATTTCACTGGCCCTTTATAAGAGGAGGAAGGATGACGTGGGAGCTGCCAGATGCATACATGTCGTGGATGTAGGTATACATGCACATGAGCAATGAAAATCCAAGAAGAAAATAGTCCACTTTGAATCCTTGAAACCTTCCCTTTCCATCGATCTTCAAGACAAACGTTAATCAATCTTTAAATTATGATTGAATCAGGAAGCCTTTCGCATTACTTGCGCAGATTGAATATCCCGCCGAAGTCTTATGTTTATCGACAGTATTCGTGCTAGCTGTGTCAACAACTTGAAAGCTCGCCTATCGATGTACGCAATGTTCAGCTACCAGAAGCTTAGTCTTTTGCGCGCAATATCGATGGCTTTCAAGTATCTTTTGTCTGTAAAGACGAAAAAGACATTTTCCAGCGCAGGCTAACTCTAACTTCAGTCCACTTGTTACTTATCGTCTTTCTCAAACTTAACGAAGTTCTTTGAGATTCCTGTTCGTGTATCTGTGTCTGTGCCTCTTCCAAGCGCATATTGACATCTCGCGATGTGGATTCCATTTCTCCTTCGTCAAATTCACCCGGTAACACAGATGGAAATGTCTCAAATCTATCCTCATCAAACAATCCCAAGGCAGAAACTGCCGAGCTGGTCTCCTTACGGCCTTCTGTCATTAGGCCAATGACCGTGAGCCGAACTACAACATCGTCGAGGTCCTGCTGGATATCTCTTCCCTCATCGCCCGTTTCCGCCATTGCCTCCCAGTAATACTCGCTGTAGTCCCCTTCTGGTACACCATAGTTTTCCTCGAATTCTTCGCCCTCGTTCTGTGATTCATCCTGAGACGCTTCACTCTCGGTTGCAGTGAAAAACAGGTCATCATTGAACACTTCATGCTCTGGTACATCATTCCATATCGTTTTCTCCTCAAAGAATGTAATCTCAGACTCATTTAACCACTCCAATATGTGAAACTGGTCTTCAGTCAAAGGATCTCTATTGCCAAAAGGTCGATGTTCAAACTCAAGAATTGCACCCCTGTGCAAATCACTTGGTACCTCAGTCACAGAACCCTCCTCGCAAGTTATCAAAGAACCTGTGGTAAGCACAGAGGAGGGAATAACATCATTGCGAAGGACGTTTAGAGGTGGCGAAAAGGCCAAGTAAGACCTGGTAGCCGTCGAGGAGAATCCAGATTTTCTTTTCTGTATCACTAAGTTTTTGGCAGCCACAAAGAAACTCTTGATAGTTGGTCCCGGAGACGGCATGATTTCAATGTTTGAAATTCGAGGAGGAAGGGAGAAGGGAGATCTGGATGCAACGAAGTTGTTGTTCAGTTGAAAGTTCTTTTCGAACATGTTGAGAGGTGTGTCGGTTGAGTTACCCATAAGGTCACTAGACTAGGTGAATGACGAATACCGTTACGTAGCGCAAAGTATATATATGAGAGTTGTAGTATGGGTTACCCCATCATTTGTATTGAAACTTCAGCCATTGACAAATAATATCAATTGTTTATTTATAGTCAAATGTATCGGGCTTTTGTATTCGTGCCGGTCAAATCAGATTTGATCCTCATGCTCAGTTGGCGTTTCAATGGCAACCTTATTTAGCCAAGCATCTTGGTCTGGACTTTTGGTGAGAATACCTGAATGATGGTCTCGAAGTTCGGTACCTGGGACAATTGGAAAGAAAACGCATATAGCTAAGCCCCATAGGTCGTCATGGCTGAGTAGTCTGTCTTCGTGTCGAAAGTGTTGGCGCAAGCATTTTCATTGGAATCGCTTCGATACTGAGAGAGATTATCAGTAACCTCAAGAAAGATTTGAATGGTCAAATCATGATAGGTAAACTAGAAGATGCTCCAAGTGGAAAAGATAAACATCTTCAAAACATTCGATGTGTGAACTAGTCCCTATAATTGAATGGATAAACTGGGCATTAGATGACAGTAAAGAGACAAGAGACGTAGAACATCATTGAGAGATTCTTTCATAATCATGTACTGGGTGCCATCTTAGTCCCCATCTAGTATAGTCGACTTTACCCAATGTAAATATACCGATTCATGAATGGTATAATTGACAAAGCAACCCTCAGTGATGGAAGGATTATCTATTTTCTTTCCCTGGAGTGTCTTCAATTGTTCATAGCATTCGAACACATAAAAGCTCTGTTGGGATTGATTTGCCTCTCTGATTTATAAGTTATGATCAATTTTACTGGAGCATGGTGTGGCTCTATTAAGAAAGACTGGTAAACAGAATTATCATGGTTCTGCTACTAAATTAGTGACCCATCGCATTGCGATGTCTATGATTTTGATACCATGCCGCTACATACGGACAAGATAGGCATGTTTTCCTCATTCTCCGGCAAAGCGCCATGAAACGCCACGGAAACCAATAAACGCCCGAGATGTCCTTTCTCTAAAGTCATTGAAGAGCCCAATCTGTAAATGCCATTCTTGATCGTCCGAAAATCATTCTGTATCTCCCAATCTATCCACCACCATGTCCCCAATATGTCAAATGACCGTAAAGATTCCTCCCCAAAATCTACTGAGGATCACCGGGCTTCTTGCTGTTGCAGCTCACGATCTTGACTTTGTCCGCCGTGACTGACTGACTGGAGTTCTCCATCTTGAAAGTGACATCCTTTATCAAGAAAGTCCAAACCTCGTCGCAGAAACGATACGTATCCAGATGTCCCTTCAATATCCAGTCAGTTAAAATTCTGTTTCATTATCGCCACTCATGTCGAAAAGTGTTGTTCCTCGTAATGACTCTGGGCGCATATACCTTGAAAGTCAATCTCGCCTTGACTTTGTCTGCCAAAACCTCCGTGATACTTCTATCAAAGTTTGCCAATATTTTCATTGCGAGTTGAGGCTCGATACGTCTCTCGCTGATCAAATCGTCAAGGGTATCTGTGAGCGACATGCCGATACTTAATGCTTTGTCAGTAAATGTAGATATATTTGTGTACTTGTGTAGCAAAATAAGGCACAGTACCTGCTACGGCGGTAGAGCTCGTAGAAAGACTGTGGAGCCGCCATCTTGTATGATTGTAATTTGAGATTTGCGGTCGAAGGGGAAAAGTTGATGTTGTTGATGGTTGTTGTTTATATATGGAGGGAAGGCTGAAGTAAGCGGCTGTGTTGCGCAGCGTTTGGCGCTAGCTACGGTTGGCGATTTAGGTTACTCTTTCGGTTGGAGCTCGATGAGGTACAGACCAGACCACCCAAACCATAGCTTTGTCGACATCAAATAAATACTCAATTCCTTTCACTTTGTTGACACAGATTATCTGGACAAGATGAGCCTTACATATGGAATTGGTGGTGCTACCACAGCGTTGGCAGTGGTTGGGGCTTGTAAGCTTTGGATGTCCTGTTTGGTTTGATGATTTAAAGCTAACAGGTGCTGCTAGATATGCTCTTTACTGGCGATGGAGAAGCTTTCAATGTACGAATTTCGAAGCGCGATCTGGAAAGGAGTGAATCTAATAAGAGTAATAGTTCGGACAATTCCTCGAGGAGATATCGCCATACGCGTGGGCAGACATGGGTATTGGCATGTGTATAGGATTGTCAGTTGTTGGGGCAGCATGGTACGCAACAACTTCGCCCCTCTTTCTCGATCATCAGCTCACAAAGTATGCAGGGGAATTCTGATTACCGGTTCTTCGATTCTCGGTGGTGGTGTTAAAGCTCCTCGTATTCGAACCAAGAATCTTATCTCCATTATTTTCTGCGAAGTAGTCGCCATTTACGGCGTCATCATGTCCATCGTCTTTTCATCCAAGCTCGGTCTCATGGAGAGCGAAAACCTTTATTCTGCCAGCAACTACTACACTGGATACGCCCTATTTTGGTCTGGCATAACAGTGGGAATGTGCAACTTGATATGCGGTGTTTCAGTCGGCATCAATGGCAGTGGTGCTGCCCTGGCAGATGCTGCTGACCCAAGCTTGTAAGTGTAGCATGTCGATACAACCTGCTTGAAGATGCTAATCCGTGACAGGTTTGTCAAGATTTTGGTTATCGAGATCTTCAGTTCCGTACTAGGACTTTTTGGTCTCATTATCGGCTTGTTGGTTTCATCAAAGGCACCGGACTTCGAGTAGAGGATAAGCTGTGGGCGTGAAGGAGGGTTGCAGTTCTGGTGTGGAAAGAGACGTTAGATAAATTATTGTTTTGTACTGTGTATATCATCCAAGTGGAAGTCGACAAATGGCGTTCAGGGAGAAATCGATTTCAAGCACTTTTGGGTTTTTAGGCAAGGTTGCATTAATATTACTATTGTCAAATGGTGGTATCGCTAGATTGTATTATTAAAATGCCATTGTAGTAAATGGAACTCTCGTGCTCTGGAACATAATTAAAGTGCTAAAGTGCAATGTTTCATGACAATTCCACTGCAGCTTAAACGCCTCAGACGCCCCAATGGGCGTTATTCAATTAGCGACACGCCATGCTTTACTGCTCTATCATCATCTTTGACGTCACAAGCTTTGTGCCTCCCCTGCTCCATTATGCCTCATACGACTCGATTTCCTCCACGGCCACAATGGGACCCTTTTCAATATCCATGGCCTGTTGTGACTGATCCTGTAGTTGTTGCATTTTTTGCATCATCTGCTGTTGCCACATCTGTTGTTGCCGCACCTGGTATTGTAGGAGAATCTGCTGCTTGACCATTTGTTGCTGGACTAACTGCTGCTGTATCACCTGCTGCATCATATTTTGTTGCGCATGTTCTTGCATCTGCTGCCGCCGATGTTGTTGGTTGAGATCCTCTAAGCTTCGTCCAAAAGGATTGATTTGAGCATGAGATACCCCATAGCCAGGCTGTAAATCACTGTTCACGCCCTTTCGATACGTACCAAATGGCTGCATACCATCGGCTGCTTGGGATCTTGCACCAAGTTCTCGTTGAATTTCTCCCATCTTCGAGTCTACCCGTACTCCACGAGCTTCAAAGTGCTGCTCCATTTTTCGCCCGTATTGATAGAACATTGCAAGATCCATGCCTCTCTCCTTGAACTCCTCACTATAAGAGTACAAATCAGCATTTGTGTATTGATATATTGCACTCGGATAAAGGGGGTGGACATTTCAAGTGCATACGCACAAGTAAAATAAGAGAAACGTTGTACTTACCGCCAAATGTGTCTCAAAGGTATGCCATCCTTCAACCTATTCACAACATACTGCTCATCTTGAGGTGTCATTCCACAGTGATTCCAAAAGTACCGGCTGGGTACACCCTCTACCATCAGTCCTTCATAATAGCCTCGGCTGCTCCATTGTTGAGTGACACCATCTACACCTTTGTTCAGTTCATACATTTGCATCTTTGCTGGGAAGTATAGTTCTCGTAATTCTTTCATGGAACCTTTCTCTGAAGGTCCCTCGGGAATATCTTTATCTTGAATCGAGATCAAAGTTGAGAGGTCCTGGTCTTTAACGGAGAGCAAGTCTGCAACAGTATTGTTGATGTACGGCGTGAAGATGTAGGGATGGTGTAATGAAGCATTGAGTCTACGCTCTAACAAGTTTTCTCCAGTGGGCGGTGTTGCTTCATCTACAACCTTACGTGATTAGTACTTTTCAATGGAAACATTAGAAATCAGGGCATATCTGAATACGTTGAGTCATAGGGGTTTGATCAGAAGCTGAAAGCACTCAAGAGGAGTGGGGACCATAATGATGAATTGTACTCACGTGGGGAAGTCGAGGTTTTGGCTATCTCCATGTCAAGAAAGTCTTTGGTGACACATTCATTGGAGTAGAGGAGAACTGGATTGAGTGAGGTGGGGGAGGATATGTAATCGGTTCGGCTAACTTGACTGCGAAGATTGCGCCGGTGAGGTCGCCAACTCCTTCGAGAAACTCATAGTCTTCATAGGTACGGAATGGAATGGCTTTTGGCATCTGTAAATAATTAGTAATGTGGGTGGCATTCTTGGTGCCGTATGGACTTCAAGCAGATCGTTATAAAAGCTGCCAGTTCTCCGAATGTATAATCTTGACCAAGAATATAGAACACAACACAACACAACTAAACATACATGATATTCTTCTTCACACATTTTGCAATATCCAGATTGTCCGATCCATCTACAAGTACCAAAATCCAAGCCATCCAAGATGCCGACCCGCACAAAAAATGCTCTGAAATCTTGTTCGGGGCATGGATTAAGGCGAGCTGTCATACCAGCTCTCCAGAAAACTGTATTACAGTATTCTGTGATTTCGATAGATTTATGGCCACATTTCTGCCATTGATAGTATTCGTATTGACACATTATGAAGTATCTGTATTTCAATGAAAGTAATATTGTTATGATTGTGGACGGTCAAAAAACAAAAGAAACTTGAGAGTAAATATTTGGGAAGGAGAGAAAAAGACCATGTTAAGGATGTTCTAGAGCTTTTGATTCCGAGAATGAGAGGAGGGAAGAGTTCCTTCCAATTAGAGAATGAGAATTGCATCTAATTCACTTTTGATTCTCAATCAGGTAATTTCACTCATCATGACATTTAAATCCATTCATTCAACCACCGACTACCAACCACCAACATCGATCTCAATTGAATCTTCTCAACCTCTTGTAAAAAAAACCAATCAACCTTCATATTCACTTCTAACCCTACTCATCAGCAACGCTTCTACCTTTGTCTTTTTCGGCAAATTCTTCGATCCGACTGGTAAGCATAATAATGCATTTGCACTCTTTAAGCTTCCAACTCTTGAGCTACGTTGCATGCCAGTGCTACTTGCATATAAAATGCCGTCTCTCCCTATTGAGACAATCGCTCTATGGTACTCAACTCTTTGAGGATCCAAACGAATGTCGTGTGATAGAGTTACTGGCACCTTAGGCAATCCCACAGGAGATATTCCAGAAGCGTGATGTAGAGAAGGTAGAACGAATAGATGGAGGGTAACTATAGCTGAGACCGGATTACCAGGTAGAGAGAATATGACCTTTGAAACTCTTTCTCCATCATTGTTCTTCACTGGTACCGTCGCAAAAGTTGTAGGCTTCCCGGGTTTCATTGATACACGACCAAAATGAATTGTTCCCCCTAATGATCTCTCAATGGTAGGTTTAAGAAGATCAAGCTCGCCCATCGATACACCACCAGTAGTGATAACAACATCAACTTTTCGAAGTCCATCCCGAAGTGTTTGTTCGAGATCTCCAGGTTTATCTCGAGCGATACCAAGATCTACGACTTCAAATCCTAGACCTTGAACGGCAGCCATGATTGTTGGCCTATTACAATCACGAACTTCTCCCATTCTGAGAGAGCCAGGTCTGTTATGTTCGACAATTTCGTCTCCTGTGGAGAGCACACCGACTATTGGTTTTTTGTAAACAGTGACTTCTGCTCTGCCGACAGACGTGAGTAGACCGAGTTCGCCACCATTGGCAGATATTTCTTCCCCTTTGCGCATTATAATAGACCCAGCTTCAATGTCACTACCGACTTCTCTAACATTTTCACCAGGCTTCACTCCATCGGCTAATATCTCGACTTCTTTCTCCTCCCCACCATCCTCGGTCATCGTCTTCAGCACAGTATCTTCTACCATTATTACAGAAGTAGCTCCAGGCGGAAGTGGTGCACCAGTTGTAATGCGTGCGATCTGACCTTCTAGCAGAAGAGGATGCTCACCGGCGGTGGCATGAGATATCGATGCTACAGGAAACACGCCTTTGTTCGATTTACCTTCTGTAGCAATGACCGCATATCCGTCTACAATACTGGCGCGATATGCCGGCACAGCTTCAGTTGCCGTAACATCCTCCGCTAGAACAGATCCTACTATGTCTCCGTTTACTTCAGCTTTTACGGCATGCGGAGCAGGTGTATGTTTTTCTATTAGCTTCAAAGCTTCTTCGACAGATAACATGGGGTATGGAGATGAACGACTCCGTCGCGTTGGACCGAGAGCGGGATCATTCGAACGAGGATTTTCATCTGGCGCAGTATGTCTAACAGGCATTGCATGCCCATGGCTATGACCGTGGCTATGACTATGGCCGTGACTATGTGAGTGATTATGGGATTGATCATGTTTATGTGAATGTACTGGCAGAGAAGCACGCTCAGAACCAATACCAGCTTCCTTCTCGAGCTTCTTTACACCTCCCGCATGAAGCGTCCGGGAATCTGCTCCTGCAGCCTGAAGGCAAGCATGCGGTAAGAGCTTCAATATTGATTGAAGGTTCTCCTTTGCCCCTTTGGGAGATCCAGGTAATGTGACGATGATTGTCTTGTTGCGAACACCCGCTACCGGCCTTGACATGAGAGCAACTATTATCAGTCAACTAACTGTTGGTACTCGTGATTCTTCTAAACCTACAAGGAGTAACTGCCAATGAAGCAGCAAGCATTCCATGGACAAGTCCTGGAGCTTGCTTGTGTAGAAGGGGGTGTAATTGCCTATGATAGTACATTTTAGCATACGTATGATACCTTGGGAGACTGTATTACCTCAGGAGTATTATCTGAGACTGCAAAGCCGGTACCGCCAGTAGTAATCACAACATTGATAGTATTTCCTTGGTCCGTCCAGGACATCACACTTCTCTGAATATCTGTCACATTATCACTCACGATCTTCGTTTCCACAACTTCCCATTGGCCGTCTGCTTCCTCGAAAACGCCTTTTAAAACAGGACCGGAGGAGTCGGTTGACGCATCTTTAGCTGCAGTAGTCGACACAATAAGAATTGCTGCCTTCAGAGTCTGTTTATCCATTTTGAAATCTGCTATCGAATGATTTGAGGTTCTAGTCATCGCTACCCCTCGGCAGATAGTGAACTTCCCCACTTACCGATCCCTAGGCCGACGTCACAAGAAATCGCGTATCCCGAACTTTTTTTTTGTTCGGCGCGTTATTCAAGAAGAAAGAAATTGATAAAATCAAGTCTCAACAACCATGGTACGAATTAAGAATCGATACCTTCTGGTCAATATTCTCTACCCGGAACTGGAGAAAAATACCGGTGGCAAAGAAAAACTACCGGATGTAGTGGTGTTCAATCAACCAACCGTCGATGCACTGACTTCGCGCGCACTACTGAGAGGCATCCAACTGGAAGTTGCGAATCTGTTTGGAGATTATGGAAGCGGTGCAATTGCAGATAGTATTGCAGGTTTGTTCTTTTTCTTCTGACACAATTTTGATCTAACGGGGTGGATTCTGATGTGATTGCAATGTAGTAAAATATTTGTCATCTGCGACATCGACATTTATTCTACGGGTTTCGCGAGCGCATTATCGGATTGTTTGGGCAGCTTTGTCGCTAATGAACAGCCTACCTATTAAGAACGGCAAAAATTGCGTATTCAGAGTTGTGAGGGTCAGTGGGACGATTAGAAAGGCAGAGGAAGAAGCTATTAGAAGGGCGAGGGAGATGATATTAAAGGCCCGCAGAGACCTGGGCGAACAAAGTGAATCTACACTGGAGAAGATGTTTGGCACAAAGAAAGGAACTACGGCAGAATCCGCGAAAGACGTCATGATGGTGGATGCGGTGGATAGTGAGGACGATGAAGAATTGAGTGATGGAAATGGTTGAGGGTATCATTGATTTGTTCTAACAACTTTTACACCCGAATCGAATGGCGCCCGAGCCATCTCCTCGAGGTCATCATAGTCTTCTGCAGCTCTCGAGTTCTCTTCCTCTTCCTGCATCTTGGATTGCTCCTCGAATTGCTTCATCTCCATCTCCCGATATGCTTCATCATACTCCTCCTTACGATCGATCCAGCGCTCCTGAACATCCTTTATATCCATCGTTGTGGTACCCTCTCTCATAGCTACTTGCCATACAGTATCGTTCGCACCCTCCGCACCACCAAAAGCATACCCTCCGGCACGATCTATGACTTGAAGTAGATGCATCATACTTCTCTTATCTTCCACGGCTAGGGTTTCGAATCCTACCAACCCGAAATCCTCGACAAGTTGAATGATCGCTTTATTCAGACCCTCGAACTTTGAACCCTTCATCAACGAAGATTCCTCCTGAAGGCTGGGAAGTAAGTGTGAAAGGTCTTGGACTTCAGTGTAGAAATCTAAGTTGAAAGGTAGTGGTGGATACGAAGCCAATTTGTCCATTTTCGTCAAAACATTCAGATGTGGTAAATCCATTTGAAGCATTGCTCGCAGCGAGAGGATCAGATTGGAGATGTATAATGAAGGCAAAGTCAAGCAATACGAATCGGAAAGATGGAGAACTACAAGCTGCACAAATGTCAGCATACTGGTTTTTGAAAGCAGACTTTCAATAAAGAATTGAAATAACGTACTCTATATCCTAATTTCTGTAACTTAAAAAATATGTTTCGTAAAGACGAATGATGTGTATAGAGCTCGACCTGACCGGGACAATCAAACAGTACATAATCCTCGCCCAGTTCTGCCAATCCTTCCTCCAACCACTCCATGTTATTTTCTAATTCCTCAAGTGCATATAGTACGCCACCATTGGGACCTAATGAATCTTCCTCCATGATGTCCTCTAGCTTTATGAAATTGCGCACGTCGATGGCGCAGGGATAGCTTGTGTGATCATTGGCGGGGTCGAGGTTCACGATGGAACATTTTCTTCCTATCGCAGACATGAACTGCTGCATGCCATTACAATATGTAGATTTCCCAGCGCCAGGAGAACCGAGGACGAGTTGTGCGAAAGGCATATTGTGTATATGGTCGTAGTTCGAAGTTGAGGCGATTCGTGAGTGGTAGGTACAAGAGGAAATCAGCTTCTTTTTCTTGTGGTGCTAGATGGTGATAATATCTTCTCCAGATTCGTTCTCGAATGCACGAAATATCAGATATTCGCGCTCAAATGTGTTTGCAAATGCCGGAGAAAGTGGTGCCAAGGTCGCAGTTATAGCTCACTACCAATATTAGCTCACCCTTGGAACCTTTCGAAAGTTTTGTTGCACGTCTATCCAAACTCTCAGCTTTGAGACTTTAAGAGGAGTATTATTTTTATTGCAATTTGGAAAGCTTGAAAGAACGGTTGTTGAGTATGGAGAGGGGCACATTTGGCAAAAGTTGAAAGGCTTAATGCAAGGCTGACAAACATCTTAGCGGTGAGTGTGGCAGAATACCTGAGCTAAGCCTTCTACAGAAACGCGGCTTCGAGATCAATCTAAATATTTCACTGGAACCTGGTTACACTTGAATTGGATTATCATTGACGAATCACTCATTGAGAAGCTCCTTGTTACAGACTCTATATTCCTGTGCGCAAAGAATTTAACTCTGCCCTTAGTGTTATTTCTGTCTCATTACAAAATCATGGCGCCAGGTACACAAGCTCTACATCACCCCAAGCTCAAGCAAGCATGCTAATATAGCTCTTTAGCAGTACAATTTGAGCTCTCTGAGCCACCTACTGACGCAGTCTCTTCCCTAAAATACTCGCCTTATACACCTAACAGATTACTTGTTTCGTCCTGGGATAAAAAGGTCTATCTATACAACACAGAAAATGTTTCCGAAGGGGGGCAGCTGATGAGAACTTACGAACATCGGGCGCCGGTGCTAGATGTTTGTTTTGGGAAGGATGAGAGTGAGGCGTTTTCGGCTGGTATGGATTGGCAGGTGAAAAGGTGCGTTTAATCATTGGGACAATTGAGTTAGGCTTGGGATGCTAATGTGGGATAGGATTGATTTGGAGAGCGGAGAACACACAGTGTTGAGTACCCATGAGGCGCCAGTCAAGTCGGTGGTCTATAGTAAAGAGCATTGTGAGTCTCTCCGCCATCGCATATGTCAATTGTTACAGAGTACTAATACGACCTCCTAGCTCTCCTCATATCCGCTTCGTGGGACAAAACACTTCACATTCTCAACCTTTCCGACCCCTCGCAATCCCCAATGACAATTCCTCTTCCTTCTAAACCGCATTCTCTCTCCCTCACAGCTACAAAACTCGTAGTCGCCATGTCTTCCCGACTTCTCTATATCTATTCCCTCCCCCTCTCTACCGACCCCTCCCAAGAACCCTGGCAACAACGCGAATCCTCTCTCAAATTCATGACTCGCGCTGTAGCCTGCATGCCCAACGATGATGGCTATGCCTCTTCCTCAATCGAAGGCCGTGTCGCCGTTGAATGGTTCGATCCATCCACCGAATCCCAAGCCCGTAAATACGCTTTCAAATGCCATCGCCAACCCGATGCTACAGGCGACGGAACAGATATCGTATATCCAGTCAATGCCCTCGCATTCCACCCCACGCACGGTACATTTGCATCTGGTGGCGGAGATGGAGTCGTTGCACTGTGGGATGCCGTTGCGAAAAGAAGAATCAGACAATATCAGAAATACCCAACGAGCGTAGCCGCTCTCTCATTTTCAAGCGATGGAAAATATTTAGCTGTGGGCGTATGTCCAGGATTCGAGAATGGGCAGGAGGACTATAGTGGAGAAGGATTGACAAAGGTGTATATAAGGGAGCTAGGCGAGAACGAAGCGAAGGGAAAAGGTGCGAAGTAATTTAGATTTAATGCCGTCTACTACTGGAAAGGTACTGTACTAGCCAAATTGTTCATTTAGCAAGGCGTTCTGGTACAGAAAATGAATAAGAAGCAAGAATTCAACAGATGGAGAACTGCAACCATTGAGAAATGGACGGTCAAATTATTACTTTGTCGTCTAATCTGCTTTGTACATCTTAACGCACCCTCTCGCCAAATCTGAGGATTCTACCACTGCCGCAAAAGTAACGAAAGACTGACCCTCCTAGCGACATGATTGAGAAAATGAGTTGGGAATTAGTAGATGCTAAGCGATGTACAAGCTGAGAGTCAATTATGATATTACAGAGATTCTCACCTTACATCTCGTCTGGTATCTCGTCCTGTACCTAGAAGCACAACATTATTGAGAGATGGCCGATCAATCGAAAAACACCGAGTGAGAAGCAGCGTTTTGTTGGTAAGAATGTTTAGATATAAAAAGCTACAATGAGAGATATATAAAGCCCAGATATACATGTTATGAATAGAATATTGTGAATATCAGCCCCTTGAATATTTCTGCGAAATGCCCCTCTCTGTCTTCTGTTACTGCCAATAGCTCAGTCTCCATGCAAATCTCGAATGGTCCATGTTTGTGCTCATAACACTACGATATTCTCACCTAAATAGCAAATAATTATGTGTTCAATCTCAGAGAATATCTCTTCGTCCCTCCATAAACTCATCCTTAGCTCAACGAATTAGGTGTAGCTAAATCTTCAAGATTTGGCTTTTTGAATGGCGGTTTGAATGGTAAAGTTTTTGTTCTCTTTCTAGCAGAGCCTGGCAAAGTCCCCCAAGCAGAACTGGCCTGTCGCGTAAGACGACTTAAGCTTTTTTCTGACCTAGGCGTGGGTCGGTACGACTTGTTGTGAGAACTTGGGCGACATGCTCGGAGCAGATGCCCCGCTCTCCGTAGTCTCGGTGTTTGGCTGGGCATGAGTGGGATTCGCAATGCTCTTGAAGTGATCGATATAGAAGCGACCTGGGTTGACTTGCTTCTAGACATAGGTGTTTTATGTTCTTCCAGTACCTGAGAAGCTCGACAAAAGTAAGTTTCGTCCGGAATCTCATCTGGTATGAATGAAAGTTGAGAAGAATGAAGCGACTGCCCATGGCTGGTGGGAGGCGGTGCGTCCAGTATGAATCTGTCGAACTCATCAGGTGTATTGGATGGTTGCGATTCCCCAAGCTCAGGAGAAATGTCGCGAACTGCAATCAATCGTGCTTCTGGTATCTGAGGTGCCGCAATTTGAGTCTCTGGAATTTCAGGGCTAGGTGGCGTAGAAGGTCTATCAATAGTAAGGGCTAGAGGTCTACTCCGAAATGTTGTCCGTCTACGTGTATGCAAACCGGTCGACTTCCTTTTGACAATTGTTGAAATCGGGCTTGAACTATCAAAGATGTCCTCTTGCGTCTCGTTCATAACGTCGCTTGACTTTGGCTTTCGAATTCTCCAACCACCGGCTTCTGGTAATTTTAATGCTTGTGTGGTAGTTTGCAAACTCATGGCTATTGATAGCTGTGATGCCTGGCTGTTCTTGTTATCTTCAGTTCTTGTCGTTTGTGATTCTTGCACTATCAACTCGTCAATCGGAAGAAATTTCATTGTTGCTAACCAAGCCTTCTGAGACAAACACCCCGGTGATTTCTTCTTCTCCACCCACTGGCTTGTTGGGAATTGCATCTTTTTCAGAAGCATAGAAGTCATCTCTGTCGTCATCCTTTCCGTTGCCCTGTTGATTTTCTTCGCGCGATTCGTCTTCAGTGGAGAGGATAATTCCGTCAATTGATTCATCTGATTGTTTTCCATGGACTCCTAGCACATCGAAGCATTCTCCACTCTCTTCCTCATTTTCATGTTCATTTTCATTTTGGTCTTCAGCTTCGTCTTCTTCTTCTTCGTCGCCCATCTCTTCATCACTGTCGTAACCAGATCCGTCGCTTTCTTCCATCTCGTCGTTAACATTATCACTTGCGATACTGATGACGCTTCGTTCCGATTCATTGATAGATAACACATCATCCTCACTATCTTCCTCGCTATCTTCGTCGTGGCACCTTTTCAAGCAGACCGTCTCCATATTGAGCCAAACTGCAGAATCGGAAGATTTTTTTCTTCTCCTAACCTCGAAAGAATCGTCAAGATTCTCACAGTCTGAAGAAGGTATTCTAACACGCCGGTCAATCTCGACTTTTTCATCAAAGGTGACTCTTCGAGGCCCTTTCCTAGTGGGCGGCAGCGGGGATTTAACTTCTGCGACCGAAATCAGTTCATCGCCAGAAAGATACCCATGCATTGGTTGATCATCTTGATTGGCATCACGGTCTTCATGACTTTGGCTATCCTGGTCATCTTGTGGACTTTCCCCCGTTTTATTTGCTTGAGACTCGAGTTCGATCATTACCGACGCACTGAGTGTAGCTTTCTTCTTTAGACGCCTCTTGGTTTTTTCCGCTGGAACTCTTCTTTCAGCTTGGGCGTTTAGCTCACCGACTAGCTCGTGGACCTTTTCGCGAACCAATTCTAATTGTGCTACTTGGACAGTCAGTCCCCAAATACTGACGCAAGCACGTTTTTGCTTGGGTAGCAGCATACATCTGCCAGTCGGATTTGCTTCAGCTCCCACGAAACCATCAGAATGAGACGAGCTCACCTCATGGCGATTGCTTGATTCTGCCCGAGGAGATGTGTTGTAACTATCGGGGAACCGAAAGGCTTTGTTATCAATCTTTCCAAAGGCGCCATGGTATGTCTGAAAAACTTTTTTCTCGCCCTTTGTCCGCCCAACACTCTGTATAATCTTTAGAGCATCGGAAGAGTCTTGAGAGATTGGGTCATCTAGGATTTCAGTTGAAGGCTCCACTATACTCTGATCAATATTGTACCACAAACTTGGTGAAACTTAGCCATACCATTCTCATCATCTGTCTCCTGACTAAATTCCGCCACTCTCTCAGATACTAAGTGCAACTCGTCCACTGGAACTCTTCGAGATCTCTTATTCACCCTTTTCTTCTGCTGTTTCTTTGGGCTTGGACGACCACCCTTTCGAGATGTATGGTCAATGGGGGCATCCTCTGAGCCGCTAGGGTCAGGCGTACAATCAGATGAATGAGTAGCATGAGACAATCCAAGAATATCGATCTCAAGGTCATCGAGATTATTACTGTTAGTGTCCCTTTTGTGTGAGCCCATAATTGCGTTTCGAACCAGCCGCGGAGCACCAAATGAAAAACTGATGTCCCTGACCTCAGGATCACTTGAAGGCTGTGAATTGTGTGTGCGTGAAGTTGTTCGAATGAGTTCTTCGAGACTGGTAGATTCTTGACTGCCATCGGATGTTTCATCGTTGAGAGGGTCAGGATTTTCTAACAGTGTATTTGATTCGACCGGGCTGCCAGATCCATTGCGAGATAAGGCTGCTTTTTCATCGTCTTTCTTTCCTGGGACGATGTGCTCGATGGCTCTTCGGCAAGGAGTGAAGTAGCGAGTTTGGATGCGATACGTTGCTCCCTCCGAAACTTTTTGCGCTTCGCGATTGTTCTCAAAAACCTCTTAGGCAATGGTTCACATAGTTGCTTCGAATGAGAAATATTCTCGTGGGAGGACGGACGCAGAGTATCAATAGATTTTGAAGTCCCTTGATCAGCATTATCCCCTCCGGTAGCTACAGATCCTTCTTTGCCTTTATCTCTTATAGCTTCGCCAGTCAGAGATTCCGGTGGTTGCACGATCGGGGCTGGCGGTGATGTGGTCGCTGCTTCGTCATCACTAGCGATGATTTCACTTTTGGAAATACGAGGATTGGGAGTTTCAGGCGCCCGAAGATGTCTTCTCAAAGGATTAAATCTAGTCATTTGAGGAGTTCTCTGTAACACTTGTTCCAATTGAGCGGTGGTCATACCTCCCGCAAGAGGTGAAACGATAGAATTTCGCGATGCGCTTGCAGGTGTTTCTGGTTGTGCCATGGCAAGACTGTGGTCATATGAAAGAATCTTTTGATGATTAATCCTCGCTGTAGGCAGAAATGATGGCGAGTATAATTATGATCATATTTTTACATCTTGGATAGAGTGAAGAAAGAGATAGAAGAATGGAATAATTAGGAAGAGTGTTCAAAATTTAAGAAGAATTCAAAGATCGCGAAAAAAAAAAGTTGCACCCACCTAGCACCTAGGGGAGGCACGATGGTGGTACTTCCCAATTGGGACCTTTCTTTCCTTTTCACCAATTGAGAAGGAACAAACCAGCCCCCACCTACCCAGCATTATATGAATCTCAAGAACTGATTGAAACCCATGGTCAAATTAAATTGATTTTGCCTATCAGAACACAATGATGGTATGAGGAAGAAACGACACCGCGTTTACTTCCAAAAAGTCGTCGTGGCTTCTAGTGCTGTAATATCTACTTCGAAAATTTTTCTTTTTACTTGGTAGGAATCCAGCAAAAGTTTCCACAGGTCTTCAAGGTCATCCGAAAATCCAGTGTCCCTGCCATGAACGCCCCTCGACTAATAAACAGGAGATGAAATAGAAAACATAACAATATACAACCCATGTCCAGCGTGATCACTTTAAAATGCGCCAAATACATATGGAATCATTGCACTGCGATTTATGTTAGTACTGCGTCGCACCAAGTATAAGATTAATGAAGTGGAGAGGGGGGGGCTTACCCAATTGCCAAAGTTGCACTCAGACCAATCAAAGCCCGGGTCTTAACTCTCTCCTTCTTCAAGTCGGCCGCTACCTTAACCTTCTTGGCTGGGCCCACATCCGAAGCTTCTTCCTCTTCGTCATCATCCTCATACTCTTCCGCCTTTCTCTTCGAGCGAGTTGGAATTCCGGCGTCTTGCTTGACAGCAGCCTCTACCATTTCTTTCGCCTTAGCAATCATAGCCTCCGTGTCCTCTGGGAGAGGAAGGTCTGGAGTACCAGCTGGCATCTCAACCTGAACATGAGTGTGAGTGGTCTCGATGTCGCCATTAACTTCAACATCGGTATCAACCTTGACTCTGACCTTTGGTTCCGTGATTTCTTCGCTTGATTCCTCCGTGATTGGTTCCTCAACTTGCGCCTTAATTTCCTCAACTTCCTGAACTTCCTTAGCCTGCTCCTCGACTTGCTCCTGAACTGCTTGGGAAGCTGTGGAGTCTGTAGAATCTCCTTTCCCCTCGGCCTCAACTACTCCGTTTTCCAGGACTTGTTCAAGTACATTATTGGTAGCAGCTGCAACAGGTTCCAAACTTGCTAGTCTAGCACTTGGTTTGCGTGCCCTTGCGATCTTGCGCGGAGATGAAGTAGCATACTTGCTGGGTGATGCGGATCGACGAGGACGGCCACTCTTAGTAGTTGGAGCAGCTAGCGCCTCAGGAGGAGAGATTTGAGGGGCCTCATCTAATTGTAGCTTTGGTGCGGGAATTGGAGCGACATCTCCAAAGTCAAACTTTGGAGGGGGCGCAATTGATTTGGGGGTTTGGTCTTTAGTCGGGTTAACTTCAATTGGCGCATTGTCAAGCAGAGCTTTGATCCAAGGCAAGATCTGGTATTCCTCTGCAAGCTCAAGCGCATGATGGGGTGGGATCCAAACATTCCCTGCGGTCTCATCTACAGAGGTTGTTGGCAGGCTCTTGATATACCGGCGTTCCATCTCCTCTTCTGCAGTCTCCGAGTAGGGAAAGGTAGCCTTGAACATCCCGGTCGCGCTGATGAAGCCATCGTTGCTACGGCGCATCAAGAAATACGAGGCGGGCGAAGGCTTGAAAATGCCGCTGTGGATGCCTTTGGGCAGCGGAGCACGTAAGTGTGCATAATCGAAAGTTCCCAAGTTCTTGGGCTGGGTGGAGTTCGATTTGTTGAGCTGACCAGTCTTCACAGCAAGATCTGTCTGCCCCAATCTTCTTCGGGCGACCAAGGTTTCATCTGCGAAAATTGTTAGCTCTGGTCCTCAACCTCGTACGCGACTGGCGCATCGCCTTACAAGCTGGAATTTCCGAGGTCATCAAAGGATTGACCTTTGCGGGTAAGTGTCGCGAGGCAGGCATTGCGATAGTAACTGGCTCAATGATAACACGCTAGAAAGGATGCGGATAGGGGATTGTCGGATGGAATATTAGATTGAATAAATCTAAAGGTTTCGTTAAGAAGATTTCGGAGGAACTGTAATTCTGTTTCGTGATTACGCGATTAGCAAACATTTTTGTTGATCTTTTGATTCAAAGTGATACAACAAGGGAAGTATAAAAAGAGGGAACGTACATGCAAAACACTTAACACGATCAACGCCTTCTTGATGTAGATGCTGCGCGTTGGGCGTTGAAGGAAGGAGGATCCGGTGTGAAGAAGAAGCTTTGATCTTGTTCGCGACGGGACGGAAGGAAAGAAAGGTTATCGAAGAAAATTGATTGGGAGTTGCCCGCCAAAAATCGCAGTACATATACCTAATAAGTACGCGATGTAAAATGTGCGCCTTAGATCGGAGTAACCCCAGACTGATTTGAATTCAACAACGAGCAGGAAGCAATGCAAGATGATGAATTTGTGATTGTGAATGCAGACGTGAATGGATGAATTATGATCAAGGATTAATTGTAAGTGGAGGGAGGCGGTGGTATAAAAGTAAAAAGAATACAAAGTCAGTGTGGGAGATTCTGCGATCCCTGAGGGCTTTGGGACGTTTTTTGAGTCTTGACAAGAGGATTGGTGGTTCTCTGGCCATGCAAAGTGGATTTGGCTGGGGTGGGGAGGGGAGGAATGATCAGTGATTTATATGTACGAGCATGTATGTATGTATATATGTATGTACGGTGGATGTACGGTGGATGTACGGTGTATGTAGTATGTAGTATGTAGTATGTACCTACGTTGCAACATTATTTCCAGAGTCGGAGCTTTCATCCTTTCTTCCATTTGCCATTTGCGGTCTTCCAGATGACAGACATAAATACCCTCGTACCGTAACATTCTCCAAGCTGCCTGGGTACCTAGGTATATATGTACTGTGTACATTTACAATTCACTACACCACGATGCACGGTGAGTTGGACAGAATAATGATGGTATATGGAATAAATCTACACAAGTCCGAAGAATAAAATGCTTTCTACTTATTACTTACTTATTACTCTCGAGCTACCGTGCCTATCTAGTAGGGAATATGTATGTAGTGTTCCTTTGCTGCAATTTGACTGGGACGTATCACAGTTCCAGCTACCTAGATATTGGTATTAGATAGGCACTGAAAGCTAGGTCCGTTGCCTATCCGATGACAACCAGTATAAAGTTCGTGTTATGGCTCTATTGACTTGTTATTATCATACATACCAAGGTTGAGCTATATATCTGGCTTTGAACATCAACCATGGAAAAGGAGACACTGGGGACGGGGGGAAAGCTTCTGGAACCAGTCCAGTATGAATGGCTGATGGATTGATTGGACGGGGATGCCCCTTTTATCACGAATGTTAAGATATCACATGACATGATTTCACCGTACTTGTTGTATTTACCTGGAAACTGTCACTGACCAATAAATACTACTGTCTCCCATCTATTTCTTTCCAAAGAAATCTCCAATCCTCCTCTTCCTTTCACGCAACAATCTCGAAAGAAACATATCCTCATTGTCACGAGATTCTTGCATGCTACTGTACCTCCGTGGGTTAGCAAGGATCATAGCTCAAGCCCCACTAAGCTGCATCTCGATTGCCAACGCTGCTGTATCAAAAGTGCAGCATCCACAAACTCAACAGCTTTTAAATTTCTGTGTTTGGACTTCTCCCTACAGATCTTCCTCTTCTTATCCATTCTTGCAAGCTACACTTACTACCCTCATAAATCTACTACAACATATCGAAGATGGCGGACCAACAAGAAAACGATCTCTTGCCCGAGACAACTGATGGATTCAAGGTGGGGGAGAAAAAGACTTTGGATGAGTATTCCAAGATGGGTACGTTTTGAAACCCCTTTTATCCTGTCCTCTTTGTCGCTATTCAGATCCTGCGATGATCTTCAGCTTCTGTTCTGCTTAGCAAATACTTCTGGGAACGTTCTTGACCTAGTTGGAGTCAAGTCTACCCCTCCAGCTATACCCCGCAGTCGAAGCGGTCTGGAGATACTTATGTGAGATGATAGAAGGAAATCTCATTCGAAGTAACATTTCTTTCGAAATTTGGAGTCTATCTGATCATGGCAACTCAATTATGTGCAATAGTTTGTCCAAAAATTGTTGCAAGTGCCTTTGAGGTGCCAGATCGACTATGGGGGTACAAAAACACTCTATTTTCACTCTTCATAGCTCTCCCAATTTGATCAGGACAATGGCTAGAAGCTTCCCCTTCCGCTTGATTACAGTTCATCAAATGACCTCAAGTTTGAAGGAAGTACATATATTGAGATAATATATTACCACGTCCCTTATCTACATACAATCCACTATGCAAGCAGAACCCCATTGCTTTCTTAATGGCTCATCCCGTAATATACACCATAGTCATCTAGGGTTTACTGACTTTATATTCCAATGCAGATGCCGAAGATGAGTCTCTTCAACGCTACAAGGAATCCCTTGGACTTGGCGGTGGTGGACAGGACCTTAGTGACCCAACAGACCCACGTGACTGCATTATTCTCACTCTTGAGATGAACTCTGAGGGTCGCCCTCCAGTCAAGCTTGAGCTTTCTACACCTGATGCTCTCAAGACCTTGAAGGATCATCCTTTCAAGATTAAGGAAGGTTCTAAGTTCAACCTTACTGCTACCTTTAAAGTACAACACAACGTTTTGAGCGGTCTCCAATATGTCCAAGTCATCAAGCGCAAGGGTATCAGAATCGACAAATTGCAAGAGATGATTGTAAGTGCTTCCGCGCATGTCAATATCTACACTATGTTTCACAAACTGACTCTCCAATAGGGAAGTTACGCACCCAACACTGACAAGAACCCCGTTCACACCAAGCGATGTATGTTCATATTAGACTTATTCCAAGTTCTTTAAACTAACCAAACACTCTAGTCGCCGACGAGGATGCCCCAAGTGGAATGATGGCTCGAGGTCACTACACCGCAATCTCTACTTTCGTCGATGACGACAAGAAGAAGCATCTTGAATTCGAGTGGTCTTTCGATATCGCCAAGGACTGGTAGATATTCCTATCTGCTTCACTTTTGATCTTCTGCTTTTCGCCTAACATATCGCCATCGCCTCTTTTGACACCGATTCCATTCTTGACGTAGCATAGCACTCACATGACAAGTTTTCGACATACCTTTGCGCGCATGCAATTTGGACGGCTACCTTTTGGGCGATTTTGCTTTTGTGTTGTGGCTAGGAGAATAGTTGATCGTTTTCTTCCCTACTTGTTTTCCCTTGCAAATTTATATTTTGGACAGAAAAAAGTTATGGGTGGATAATGAGACAAGTTATGGAAGGATGATCAGATGAGTTATGAAACGAAGATGTTTGGTCATATCATGCGCATGATCTGGATTGAACGAACGAACGAGATGTGAAGTTGAGAAAGTACCTAAGCATACTGTGGTTGTTTGGAGGCATTCTTTCCCTGCAGGCGCGCATACATTATTTTAAATTCAAAAGACTCATTCACTTTTCCTCAAGTATAGAACTTCGTATCTCATTGTATTTCGTATCTAGTGTGTTTAAATGGACGGAGAAAATCATGTTACATGACTGGTCCTGCCCTTGCATCCATTCATGGGTATCTTCTCGTATTTCTATGGAATTTTGATTTACAAAAACGCAATTCGTAGGTGTGAAATGATATACATCATATCATGACTACAATCCAGTTATTTTGGAGTGCAGTGTCTTGTGTACAGTGAAAAGGACATTGCTTCATCTGGCGCACAGCGGGATCTCGAAACCTGTCTCAGCTGTCCCGGATATATTCTTTGATAATTGCCTCCATGATGTCGGATGGCAGGAGTGATTGTTGATTGAGGAGTAGCGTGTCGAAAGAATGAGATCTAGTGTCTACATGCTGGCTTTCTTTTCAAATCACAAAAAGTAATCTGGCAGCGTATTACCATCAGCCGTCTTGTCCTGCCCCGCTTGCTGCATTTCCCCCTTGTGTATATCATTTTCCGGCGCGGCAGCAAATACGTTGAAGAACCTCTCCCCAGTGTCACTGACTTCTAGGACACTTGCCATATTCCCGCATCGGTAGCAGTAGTTGGGCGCACTCCACACAGTACTCAATCGATCGTCGTAGAGAACCTGGTAGCCTTCTTGGCAAAGTTGATGGGCTCGCAAGATGTGCGACATCTTATTCACTTCGAGGAATTTCTTCACAACTTGCGCGCCGAACGTGTAACCCGCACCGCGGGGTGAGAGAGAGAATTCGTCGCGCTCGGGATCGGGGTCGGACCAGACTAAGTCGGCCATAGGCCCTTCGTGAGGGATTTCGCGGAAACGATCTATGATTTTTATTTGGTCGATAGAGTGTATTGAAGGAGAGAGACCTGCAGATGAATGTCAATATGTGAAGACTTCCAGGCCAAGGAAAGCCAGGTAGCATTTTTGCGGGGAGCATACCTCCATGAACACAAAATATTTGATCATTGATGACCACACTTAATGTAAGGAAGTCGAACATATCCGTGAAATGATGCCATACATTTGCATTCCCATATTTTCTGGAGCACTCCGTATAGAAGCCATACGACTGAGTGACTCCCCTCGACTCATGATTTCCTCGTATTAAATGAACGCGATGTGGGTATCGTAGCTTAAGACAAACAAGAAGAGAAATCGTTTCGACGCTGAACATGCCTCTATCCACATAATCCCCTAGAGAAAGATCATGTGTTAGCATTGGGGAAATGTGTGCGGAGTCAGAATGCGGGGCATACCTAGAAACAAGTAGTTTGTATCTGGACAGAAGCCCCCAATCTTGAATATCTCTATCAGATCGAAGAATTGGCCGTGGATATCTCCCACTACAGTGACAGGTGCCAACACATGAACCACATTACTCTCTTGCATAAGCAGTTCCTTCGTTTTCGCGCATATTGCTTCAATAACAGATTCGGCGAGGAGATTTTTCTTATAGAGACTTTCTATACATTGGTCGAGATCGACGGAAGCTGTGGATACATATAAGCAAGGCCTCTTGTCAGTTCAGAAGGTTTCGTGGTATTCTTACATGGCAGACCGGGCATATTGCAAAAGGGTGCAGGAGTTAATCACCTCCGATTTGCGCCACTGAAATCTAATATTGAAGGATGACAGTTGATACCACCTGTGATTTTCTGGAGAATAGTATTTTGGCAAAGCAACATGGTCGCTTAAGAAAGTATTCAAGTCATAAGCAAAGATGAAATCGTGGGTTGGTGGGTAAAGAAAGAAATAAAAAGATTGCTACTTATCAACAAATATATGAAGCGGGCGGGCAACATATGAAGTTGATTATCAAGATTACGTTGGTTGTGAATATACCTAGGTACGTACCTAGTTCATTTCCGTGCCTACCTAGTATCTATTTGCCTGTAGGTAGGCCTTGTACGTTGACTGATTTGGACCTCTGGTAGCTTGAGAGTAGTGGTGCCAGATGGGTGCCTGAGAGTGCCTGAGAGTGCCTGAGAGTGCCTGAGAGTGCCTGAGAGTGCCTGAGAGTGCTTGAGAGTGCCTTAGGATGGCCTTAAGATGACCTTAGGTCTTAAGGTGTCAGATGAATATTGAGCTTTCCGTCTCAAAGGTTCACCGTAGCTAGTGGAATGAATGAATCGTTTAGATTAGCGTGATCTTTCCATCAAGTACCCTTGTCAATACCTACATAGTACCTAGCTGCATAGGAAATTTACTACGGAGGAGGGTAATATCTCTTCTGGTGTTTCTGGTGTCTCTCTCTCTCTCTACTCGCATTTTCATCCAAGTGCAATCAAATATTAGCATCCATCTCCAAAGCTTCTTCCCTTTTCCTTCCTGATTTTCATCACAACCACAATTACCACCACAATTTACCATATTCACTTCAAAATATTGTAATTCTTGCATTTCCTCCAATATCCGTCAATAAATCAATAATACCTGCCCCATATCGATCTTAACCCTTCTCTCTCTGTCCCCCTACCTTTACTCGCAGTACCAGAGACTAAGAAAAAGGGCACCCCAATTCATATTCACAATTGCTGATATTATAACTGGGAACAATAACTATTGACAAAGTCACCTACTTACTTACTCTCTCTGTCCTTCTGGGAAGTAAACATTCTTCTTCGCTTCTCTTCAGCTCGAGACACATTCGTTTGGTCAGGTCGAGTCAAGTCATGATCAAAGTATAAGGAAGAAAAGGAAAAAAGAAGTCATTGTATTTGTTCTTTGCTTTTTTTTTTGCTACACTTCTTCTCTATCCATTCCATTTTCAATCGCTTTTGCATGTGGATTTGTTGGGCTGGGAATAGTGACCCTAGCAAGGTACTTAAATAGTACTTCCTTTTGATTTTATTTACTGGGGAGTCCGGGGGGCTACATACATACAGACAACAGTTCATCCTTAAATACGGTCCATGTTTTTTTCACAGTACCGTTGCACCACATCATTCTGAACATCTATTTCAATTTCGCGGACAACAAGAACAAGAAAACCCTTTTTCTATCCATCAAAGTCATCGATGCTTTCCATTATCGCAACCTCAAGGACCAAGATAACAAGAATTCATTAATAAGCATAGCCAACTTCCTCATATTGCTCCTCGTCTTTTCTGTCGCGTCAGAATACTTTGTCTCTCAAAAGGTTACCGGTATTTCATCAACTTGGTTTCTCGACTCAAGCTCAACCCAGTGTCACGCAAATTCATCCTCCGGCCGATTGATGATTTGATAGTAAAATAGGATTCTTTTTGTATAAAGGAGAGTCCGTTATGTTGGGAAATTGGTCTCAAGGTGGTCCTCAAGGACCACCACATAACTACAACAATAATTACACTGGCCCACCTCAAAACTACAACAATTCTTACAATGCTCCTGTACCTAATAAGACTCCTCGTCTTCCAATATGCTTCACGTGTGGTCAAGAAGGGCATTACGTCAAGGATTGTCCGAATCAGAATCAAAGTGGTCAAGCGTGAGTGATGAGTTGTTTCCATATCTTGATACTTTCTTCTCGTATCTTTTGTTCTTGCCAAGAGTTGGGCTAATAATGACAAGTGCTATGGTTGCTCCTCAGACAACAAATGTTAATGGGTATGGTGCACCACCCCAAACGAAACAGTGGGCAAACGCTCAAAATGGTCAGATGGGTTCCAAGTATGGTCCCTATGCTGGCCCTGGAAGTGCTCCAATGTCGCAATTCACGGACCCTGGTCAAAATTCTCAGTTCAATGGCCCAATGCCATCTGCTCCGAGTCCGCTGTATCAGCAACATTCCACACCAAATCCACAGCAACAGGGCCCTCCACAACAGGCGTATCCTAATCAACAATCTGTTGCCAATGGAGCCAACTACAATCATCCATCTCAACAGCAACATGGATCTCAAGGCTATCAAGCTCCGTATAATCAACACCCCCAATCTAGTTCACCACAACAGTATGGACCACCAACTCACAGCCAAAATGGCCCACAGTATCCTCCCCCATCAGCCCCAGCCACCCCCTTTCAGCCTCAAAACAATGGTTACAATCAAGGTTACAATAGTCGAAGTTCATCAGTACCTCATCAAAGCAACGGCACGTCCAATCATGGGCAATGGATTGGTTCACCGCCAGTGGTGTCTCCTCCTAATGGACCACAACAACAGCAAGGACAATTGCAATCAAATCCTGGCTATAATCGTGAGTTCAGGAGGTCCCAATCACAACAATCTCAGCAAAGTGAAGGTCGCATATGGGCCCAGCAAGGGGAAAGCCGGGTGGGATCTCAGCAGCCTCAGCAAAGTACAAGTCGGGCGGCATCCCAGAATCCATCGATGGCGTCCCCAGAGGTGAATAAACGCGGGCTGTACGTTCCTCGATCCAAAAATACTACACTTACCGCCCCCTCCAAAGCTTCTTCTCAACCCGCCGAGGTACCAATACCTTCAAGGGCCTCAAGTGTGGCGAGTACACCCTTTGGCTCGCCCAGCTCAGGAGATAACATATCTGAATGGGATGGCCAACCAGCCGTTTTAAAGGAGGACAGTCACCGGACTGATGAGGAAAAGCAGTTCAATTGGGATTACAAAAAGATCTTCCAAGCTGCAGGCGAAAGACATGAAACTGTTGCACTTGCCCAGCCTTTGGCCAACAGATTTGACATGACTCCAGTCCCTCTCATCGACAAGAAATCAACCATCTCAATTTCGAGGTATGCAAGAAAAGAAAATTTGAAGGAGTATAGACAAAGCGTCAGAAAGACGCCTCAATGGCCATATTTACAAGAAGATCCAACTTTCCAGGAGTTAAGCGCTGGAGATGATTCAGTATCCTTTCAAGAACTTGATGCTTTTATGATGTCGAGACATGGCGACGCACATGTATCTATCACAACTCGAAAAGCCACCGCTGCAAACATACAGCGCACCGGTAAGCGGAAGCCAAGCCCAACGGACCAAGATGATATCGATGAGCAACTACAAGCTGACATTTCTACCCTGAAAAACAACAAACGTCAAAAGGTTGATGACCAGTCATTCAAATCT